AACTACGCCTCCAACGAGAAGGAACTCGTCGCCGTGATCCACGCCTTTAAAGTCTGGCGCCCGTACCTCGACGGGCAATACTTTACCATTCGCACAGACAACACCATAGTCTCCTCCATCCTCACCAAGAAACACATCACGCCCCGCCAAGCCCGCTGGTTAGACTTTCTTGCCCAATTCACATTTACCATTTGCCACACTCCCGACAAAAACAACCGCGTTGCTGATGCCCTCTCCCGACGCCCCGACCACAAGCTCCCTGAGAAAGTCTACGCCTCCATGACCCACTTGAAGCTACTCCCATCGCTCCATCACCGATATACCCAAGGATATCTCTCATGCCCCGACTTCTCCACCGTCTACAACAAGCTTCGTGACCTCAACCCTGTCCCCGACTACTCCCTTCACGACAATCTTCTCTACATCGACATCAAAGGCACTCGCCGGCTTTGCATCCCCAACGCACGTGGCCTCCGTACCCAGCTCTTGGTCAAGCACCATCTCGGGCTCCAGAAAACCTTTGACACCACCACCCGCTACTTTCACTGGCCTTCCCTACTCGCCGACGTCAAAGCCTACATTCGCTCATGCCCCACATGTCAAGCCGTCAATCCATCAAACCGGGCCAAACCCGAGAAGTACAGTCATTGCCTATTCCCACCCACCAGAGGCAGTCCATCTCTATGGACTTTGTGTGCGATCTCCCCAAGAATGATCGCGGCCATAACTGCATCTATGTCATCGTCTGTCGCTTAACCGAATGCGCGCACTTCATCCCTTGCACTACCTCGCACAACGCCAAAGACGTTACCACTCTCTGCTTTGATCATGTCGCACGCCATCACGGCTTCCCCGATAATATCATCAGTGAACGTGATCCACATTTTCTCTCATAATTTCGGAAACACCTTTTCAAAGCCTACTGAACCACGCTCAACTATAGCACTGCATTCCACCCTCAGACTGATGGGCAAACCGAGAAGATGAACGATACTCTCCAAAGAATCCTGCGGAAGTATTGTAATCCATACCAACATGACTGGGACCAGTTGCTCATAGCCGCCGAGATCGCCCACAACAACGTCGTTTGTCCTCCACTTGCATGTCCCCATTCTACCTCGACCTTGGCTACCATCCTCGCTTGCCCTCTAACTTTTTGCTTCCTTCGCAACTTAACCCATCTACCCTTGCCTTTCCCTCAACGAATGGGTTACAACAATGAACCGACTCCTACAAGAAGCCATCGAAGCCCTTGAACGAACACAAGAACAACAAGCCAATAAGACCAACAAACACAGATGTGACGTAACATTCAAAGTAGGGGACAAAGTCTGGCTCTCCGCCAAACGCTTTGAACATGAATACGGCTTGTCCAAGAAACTCTCCAACAAGTGACTCAGACCCTTCCCCATCATTGAACAAACCTCCCTCGTCAAGTACAAGCTCCAACTCCCTCCTGACATGAGTCGTGTCCACCCTGTCTTCCACGTAGAATACCTCAAAGAATATCATGAATCACCATCCCAATTCATTGACCGCCCATATCCTAGACCCCCACCAATCATGTTACTCACAGTTCCAGAATTCGTTGTAGGACAAAGAACTACTCAGGTATCTGACCACCTAGAACCAATCACAGAATACAAAGTAAAATGGACAGGATACCCTGATGACGAATCCACATGGGACCCTCTTGCTAACCTTAAAAATGCCATGAAACTTGTTCGCACCTATGATCGCGCCCATCCTATTTCCTAGCTACCCACTGACTAAGCCCCGCCTAAACCCTACCTACACCCTACCTAAGCCCTGCCTCCCTACTCTACACACATCCCCTGTACCCAGCAAAACCCTTGCCTCTTGACCTTCCTCTGGCTGATCCGCTCTTGCCTTCGTCTCGCCCCGTTCTCCCATCCGTCCTCTGCCACATCTCTGTCCCTCTTGTCCAAGTCCTACATGTGGCCCCTGCGCGTCGCCGGCGATAACGGACCCAACGGCAAGCGCACGAGGACGATGGCATGCTACAGCTTAGAACGAAGAGATAAGAGAGCTGGTTGGCCACATGCTGTTCCCTTTGGCCGGCACCTTGGACTAGCAGGCTTCTGGAGCAGCACCTTTGACATCGACATCAAGATCAGTCTGTGACCTGCTATCCGGATCAGACCTCATCATCAGATTGTGTACCGGATGCAACCTGCCACTGGGACAATCAAGCTGAAGCCCTTGCCGTCAACATCACAAGAACTGCTGAAGACTGCTTCTGCAACACCCTCCAAGACCTGTTTTCAACACTTTCACATGGACTACGACACAGAACTTGCCATCTGTACCTAAGACCCCGACCGGCAGCAACCCCGACCCCGGACGTTGCAAGACAATTTTCTTTGAGATCACATAACCAGTTTTGCCCGGACCCTCCTAGTTCATCAGTAAGATTACCCTGTCCCCGTTGTTCCCAACCCCTTAGTTCATCAGTAGGACTACCCTGTTTCCTGCAATTCCTTTAGATCATCAGTAGGATAACCCTGTTCCCAGTTCACCGGCCATAAACCCTGCTCCCTCTTACTCCCCAGCCATGCCACCCACATTATATCCCTCTTCCCTTTCGACACGATGACCATTTCATGACTTTTTGGCAGCCGGAACGTTGCCTTCTAGAGGGAGGGGATAGTGTCACGGACTCAGCCAGGGCTCGATCCCTGGTCCGCGGGTCACCACCCGCAAGGCTGCTATTTTATTTTTGGGTTTCTGTCTTCCGGTTCCCGACTGATGGTGCCCTCTGCAGTTTGGCGCCCGTTCTCCTCCTTTGGCACTTTCAGATTTCGATACTAGGCGCCATCCGGCATTCTGGCGCCCAGACTCAGACCTTCGATTCTCAGTTCAGCCCTGAGGCATATCACATTTCTGCCCTCGGGACTGAACTTGAGTCCGGTTCTTAAGACCGGACTCAAGCCCAGTATGGGCACTCAGTTTTCGGCCTCAGTGCTTGTGCTTCAGTGTGACTTGCTGCGACATTGTGTTCGGAATTCAAGATTGCGACTTTGTGACTTTGCAACTTTGCCTCTCTGTGTCTGTGTCCGTCGCGTCGAGTCGAGTCTGTGTCGAGTTCAGTGAGTGTGTGTGTGTGCCTTCACTCTCTCCCTCTCTCTCTCCCCCGACCTCGCTACTCTGCCTCCGCCTCGTCACACATGAGCTCAGATAAGCACGAGCACACAGGACTCTCAAGCGACCAAAAAAGTTCAGCTACCTGAGAAATGCCCAGTTCAGCTAAACACTCAAGAGGACCCTTCAAGCCAACCGAAACAAAGCAAAAGTTCAGCTAAACACAGTCATACACAACCCTTGAAGTCGGGGGTTGGGCCAGGCAGATGCAGATACAGAGAAAGGGAGCTCTATGCATTTCCATGTAAACATTTGCTGACAGCAATGAAAATGACAACAAGGTCTGAGCGATTTTGTTGGAATGAGGTTCAATTTCCCATCCTTGACAAACAATGAGGGGAGGAAACAAATGCCTAGTAAGTGAGAGTCGTCAGCTCATGCTGATTACGTCCCTGCCCTTTGTACACACCTCGCTCCTACCGATTGAATGGTTTGGTGATGTATCTGGATCGCGGTGATCTCGGCGGTTTGCTGCTTGGGGTGATGTGAGAAGTTCATTGAACCTTCTTATTTGGAGGAAGGAGAAATCGTAGAAGGTTCCCATAGGTGAAACTGCGGAAGGATTGGGAAAAAAACAAAAAAAAAAAGAAAGAGGGGAGGAAACAAAGGAGGAAGAAAATGAGATGAGATGATCCGCTTTGATTTGCTCTTCACAGAACATGCACGATGAAAGCTCGCATAGAGATTCACACCAAAGCCAGGTATGGAACACCAAGGTCAGCACAGTTCGGAAACTCAATGAATACAGATAACCAGTGCTCATCCGCACATGCAACAACTTCATCAGGCAGCGGCTATCCCTCTCTCTCTCTTCTCTCTCTGGTTGCTACCTCAATACTTGTATCGCTCTGGCTCTCCCACTCTCCTCTCTCTCTCTCTCTCTCTCTCTCTCTCTCTCTCTCTCTCTCTCTCTCTCTCTCTCTCCCCCCCCCCCCCCCCCCCCCTCTCTCTATCTAAAACTACTAGGATCGTAACCCTGGATACATCCGCTCTAATTCAACTGCAACCTCAGTGATGGCCGCCTTCTCCTTCCTCAACCCTAAGTGCTGCGCTGCGAAGCAGGCCCTGTGGCGCACAGGCGAAGCTGTGAGATCGCACAAGCAACCAGCAGCGCTTCCGCAGCTCACGCAGGACAATGAATGCCGTGTCCTGCACTGTAGCCGGTATTAACAGTTGCTTGACTTGGCCTTGGTTTTCTTCTGGCCGGTACCGGTCGTCCGCGGCCTGTCTGCTGCATGAATTTTGGTTGGTCGGTACCTTCTGGACTCTTCCTGGGACGCTGCTGCAAAATTGGACTTTGGGCCTGGAGTTTTCCTGTCGGTTACCGGTTGGACTTTTACTGGTTTGCCTCTTCGGTACCGGCCCAACATCGACTTACAATGTTTCGGCCTCCTACAGACCTCAGGACCCTAACGATCCTACCTGGGACTCACCTACTGGACAGGTGGGACCGGTACCATCTCGGACTGGGCCCAATTGGGACTGGGACAGCTTGGGACTCTGGGACCGGGACTCGGGTGTCTGCAACGTGAAATCCTTTTAGAGAGCAACAGGAGGAGGTGGAGGAGGAGGAGGTGGAGGAGGAGAGACGGGAGGAGGGAGATAGAAAGGTTCGGCAGGGATGGGGGAGGTTGGCAAGGGGGGGGAGGAGGGGGTGAAGGGGAGGGAGCGGAGTGGATGTGCTGGTTCTTCGACAGGTCAACCAACTGCTAATCATCAGCAATTCAACCTGCTTGAGGGAAGAGGAGCTCAGCATATATTGCTTGAGGGAAGCCTGTCAATATATTGCTAATCATCAGCAATTCAACCTGCTTGAGGGAAGAGGAGCTCAGCATTACCTCCAATTCAAGCCTTGCTTGGACGTCTTTCGCATCCTGTGAGAGTCGTTGCTGTTCATTCAACTCCTCTGCCAATTTCTCTCGTTCAGAGACACTCTCTTCCAGCATTGTCCGCAAGGACTTGTACGCTCTCCCCATCTCTTCGTTCTCCTGTCTTAAGTACGCGATTTCTCCATCCCTGTTCTGCATCAATCCAAAGAGCGCAGGTATTGACACAATGATCAGCTGCATAATATTGCATAATTCGTAATAACTCTTCTTCAATTTTCCAGAGTCAAAGAGAGGCCCAGCACACGCCTCAACAGGATGCACCAATCAATGATTCAGGTTGAGCTGACACATAGCAGATTCAAGCAATGGGACAGAAAAAGTCACGCGGGGTTCTGCAGAGATTGAGCAGCAGTCCAACAGCATCGAGCAAGCAGCACGGAAAGTGGATGTGAGATGAAGGAGCAAGGAAAGTGGGTCTGAGTCTAGGGCCTGTAGCCGACGACATCATACCTGCAATGACGTTTCCCTACGAAAGGAGAAAGGTACCAGATGCTTGGGAGGCCGACTGGCCTGGAAAGTCACCGCCCAGGAGGCAGCTGCTCGGTATATCTCTAGGAGCAGCGAAGTGCTCTTCCTCATTTTGCGGTGTGCAAGTTTGGCGTCACGCTGTTGGAGCGAGCACTTGGCCAGTCCAACGCTCGGGAGGAAGAAGGTTGCCTGGTCATCCACCCACAGCTATGGTGGAACGGACCAGGGAGGAGGAAAAAGGTAGGCTAACTACCTGGCTATGGTGGACGGCATCTTCATCTTGTTGGCTGGCGCTTCACCTGAAAGGCCCCGGTTGGGGTGTGCTGCTTCAAGGAAGGCTTCAGGGCAGAGTTAGGCAGGGCAGGCATACTAGAGGGGATATATCAGGTTTGCGTTGTCCTTTGAACATCGGGGCACGGCCCCACTAGTCCGTTGTAACCACCTAGTGTAGAAGAGGAGGAAGGTGGTGTAGGTCATGGCTATTGGCTATAGTGGACCTCATGTGATGCTGGCAGTAAGAAGGAGTTTTGGACATTGATTCTGATTCATTCCATGGTTACGATCCAGATGTCGGGATCCCAATCAAGACCGTCCGTCTCTGGATGTCTGGGTGGATGTCCGGTCTGGTAGGCCCGGATTTTTCTTTTTCTTTTTTTTTGGTTGTTCAACGCTCACCCCCAAAAAACTTGTTTTGAGATCTTTTGAGTTGTAACTATTTTCTGGCCCTTTCAGAAAGCCAAAGAGGGCTGGGCTGAGACTGATTCTGTTGATTGATTGATTGATTGATTGATTGATTAATTGAGATAGATAGATAGATAGATAGATAGATAGATAGATAGATAGATTGTCACATAACTACAAACTAAAAGAGCGCACTTTGCGAAACAAAGAATAAAAACAAAAAACGGGCACATTGCAAAAATAAAAACAAAAAGAAAAAGAAAAAGCAAGGGCAGATTGAAACCATTAAATTTCTCATTCTTCTTTGAACTCCACCTCCACTGTGCCTCTCACGTGCAAGGCTTGACACGTTGATGAAGTTGAGCGCGAGCTGCCCCCATCCCCGTATGCCATAACAGCCCACTTGCACACTGTGAGAGAGGCAGAGTGAAGGGGAAGGTGTTAAACACAGGGAAAAGAGACAGGGAGAGACAGAGAGAGGACAAAAAAAGAATGGAAGAGGAAAAATACGGAGTGTAGAATGAGAAAGAGGGCAAAGGAAAGGGCAAGAAAAAGCTCAAGAATGAGGCTGTCCTTGACGACAGAAAGGACACACATTGTAAGGATGGGGTGGATGAGCGC